TATTTTTGTCCTTCTTCCCCTTTCAGGATCACCACCACGGCCGCCTGCATGATGGACCTGCGGAGGTACCCGCTGGACCAGCAGAACTGCACGCTGGAGATCGAGAGCTGTGCGTATGCCTCGGGCACATCCCCTGCCACGCGGTGCCACCTGATGCCACCCGCCCCTGCCACAGCTCCCTGCTCCTGGGGATGCCCCCCAGGGCTGCTGCAGCACCAGGCTCCCTCACCCATGGGGGAAATTCCCAGGAAAACGGAGCTCTAGCAGCAGGCCGGGCATTCAAATCAGTCCCAGGAGGGTGGTGGAAGCCTCCCTTAGTGTTAAGGAAGCTGTCCTTGCTCTTGGCTGGCTCCACTCCGTGTGAGAGGTGGTACCCAAGCCCTCATCCCTGCCTGGATGTTCCCTGGATGCCCATGGAAATCCTCTTCCAGTCTGCTGGCAGAGGAGGTCTGGCTCCCTGACAGAAATGCACGGCAGGTTCCCTCCAGGGCTGTCCGGGGCACCAGAGCTCCAGCCACAGCAGGGATTATCTGGGAATTGCTCCTTCCTTCAGGGAGGGATCTGGGAATTGCTCCTTCCATCAGGGAGGGATCTGGAATTGCTCCTTCCATCAGGGAGGGATTTGGGAATTGCTCCATCCATCATGGAGGGATCTGGGAATTGCTCCGTCCATCAGGGAGGGATCGGGAATTGTTCCTTCCATCAGGGAGGAATTTGGGAATTGCTCCTTCCATCAGGGAGGGATCTGGAATTGCTCCTTCCATCAGGGAGCTCCCACAGCAGCCGTGGCTGGGAGCTGCCCTCCCCATCCTGCCCGTGCAGGCTCACGGGATGGAAATGGGGTCCTGCTGCAGGCACGAGTGCCAGAATGTCATTCCTGCCACTCCTCAGCAGTTTGGGAACAGTTTCCAGTACAACCAGGGAAACAGAAGGCAGGGAATTACCCACAGTTCCCCGTGTTGCGATTTTGTTCTTAATGGGTCATGTCCAGCCAATTTGTTCATCAAAGCTGCATTTCCACACAATATTCCTGAGACCAAGGCCGAGATGAAGAGATCCAATTGTTTCCTCTCTCAGAGCTTTTGTCTTTTACACACTTGCACATTCTCAATCTGCAGGGCTCCATTTTCTTTGCTTCCACTTGACTCTGGAACATCAATCCTTTTAGGGCCAGATTATAAAACCAATGTATTTTAAAAAACAAAACCGACCCAAACCTCAGAGAAAAAAGCCCTTTTCTGATGCAGGGGTGCTGGGTTTGGGAAGCAGCAGAAGGCAGATGAGGTCCCCTGCCCCACAGAAACTCAGAGCCCTTACCTGTAGGAGATAAGCACTGCCTGTTGATCCCATCCCTTCACCCCAAAAATAACTCTCACCACGTATACCCCTGCCTATCTGTGTGCCAGGATCCAACAAAATCCTGATGAGGCAGGCTGCAAACACGCTGCTAATCTGACATTTTAAGACATCATATCAATACTTTTCGATATTTCAGATGGAAATGACTTGTCTTTGTGAAAGTTCATTTACTTTTTAGAAGTAAAATGGAAATTTGGTTTTCTCTTTAAAGCTAGAAATCAAAGTGAAGCATTTATTTTTAGACCAAGCAACCTTTCCCTTTAGAAACATTTTTTAAAAATGGCTTCATGAAAAACATGCTTGATTTCATATTGCATAATGCCATAATAAAAAAAATTAAAATACAAAAATTGGTACCCAACACCAGCAGGTCATAGAATAAATGGAATAGAGCTAGTTAACTGTGAGATCTCCTAAAATTAGTTACCATAATTTGACATTTTCATTGCTGATCAGGAAGTAAATTTGAAGTCACTGCTGTTAAATTTGTGGATGATGAAGATAGCAGCGTGCGAGGCTTCGCTCGCTGCACATTTGAATCCGTCCCAGTCGGAATCCATCCGGAAGGGCTTTGGGCACAGCAAGTGCAGAGCTCTGTGCCCGTGTGGGACTGCAGGGCCATGCCTGGGGCTGGAGCCACACGGGAGGTGAGGGAGGCACCACGGCTGGAGGTTCTGTGGCTCTGGCACAAGGCTGGAGCCAGCCCTGTTATATAAACCAGGGGAGCCGTGAGTCAGAGCTCAGAACTGATTGGCTCTGAACATGTCACTGAGATGGGGAACGCTGTCTGTGGTTGGGTTCCAAAATTTAGGGAGGAAGCTGAGAAATCGGAAAAGGTTGAGGGAAGATGCTAAAAAGTGGTTCAAGAGCTGGAGCAGATGTTGTGCAGTGAGAAACCTCAGTAGATCAGTCTGGTTTGTTTACTGCAAAGGAGGTGGAGAGGTGAATTGTTTCCAGGCTGGGTTCACCCCTGCAGAGGGGGAACGCTGTGGGAAAGAGCTCGGGAACCTCCTGGAGAAATTCAGGACAACCACGGGAGCCTGAGAGTCTGAGGCAGGTGAATTCCGATGTGGAATCGTACACAACATTTCTGAGCTGGGAGGGTGTTGGAGCTGCTGGAATCGGCCACCAGGACGAGTCGGGGGACTTGGGTGTTTCTGTTCCAGCCCTGGGGCTGAGTGATGCAAACACCAGGTCCTTGCACAGAGCTGGTGTGTGAGGAGGATAACCCAAAGGTCCTGAAACCCTGTGGGCTCCAAGGTGTGAGGGTTTAGCACACTGGGAGCAGGAACAGCCAGGGGAGGAGGTGGAGCCCTGGCTGATTTCCACCAGAAGCAGATGTGGCACGGCATTTGGAAGATGTGGTTTATATTTTGGCACCCGTGAATAAGTGCAGTAATGACTGAGAGCGCAGAATGTGGGCTTGGAGACTGCACAGTCATCAAATAATTCCGTTTGGGAAGACACCTCGGGGTGTCTCTAGTCCAGCCTGCAGCTCAGAGCAGGGTCAGCTGTGAGATCAGAGCAGACTGCTGAGCCCTTTGTCCACTCGGGAGCTTCAGGATGACACTGTCCTCGAAGTTTCACCTCTGATCTGGGGAACTCCCAAAGCAGAATTTCTCCTGGGTGGCACATCCAGCAGCTCCTCGTTGCCCTGATGATTGCTGGGTGTGGTGGCACTCTCCCGAGTGGCAGTGAGCCTGGCACAGCGAGGGTGGCTGGCCAAGGCAGGCTCTGTGCTGCAGTGCAGGTGCTGAACACAAGCTGCCAGTGGCACAGGTGAGGCTCCCGCGCTGAAGGCAGCCGTACCCCGAGCTGCACCAAAGCCTGGCCATGTCCTACTGCTCCCAGGAAGCTTTACTGACAATCTGAGCAGCTACAGCCAAAGGGCTGCAATACACACAAGCACTGTTGATTTTCAAGTTGTGAAGAATCCTTGCCCCCAGGACAGGGCAGGGCTGTGAACACCGAACTGGTGGGTGAGGGATTTCATGGGTTCATCTCCTGGCCCTCATCCCCCACGAGTCCAGAGCACTTGCGGGTCACATTTCTAGCCCATGCAGCCCTGTCTGCCATGTGTATTTTGGGGTTAAAGCAAAGAAGCTTGGCTGAGTTAGCAAACCCATGGCCCTGAAATCTAAGGGATGAATATTTGAGTCTGGCTCCCCTTCCTCTCTTCTTTCATTACCGTTCTTCTCAGCCAGCACTTGGTAAAACAGCCCCCAACCTGAGAGACTCTGTTCACTTCTTGGATCTGAATTTTGCCTGAGAGGAAAGGGAGGTGCTCCCATCTTCAAACTTCTTTTCAGCTGCTGCTATAGCTCTTCTTCTCTCTGGGAATGTTTAATACTGAGCTGCCCTGTTTACCCAGTCCCACCAGTCTGTACTGTGTGGTCTCCCCCTCCTGGTAAAAGGAGGCAGTTTTTAAAAAGCAAAATGCTGTGTTTGGTGCATTTGACAGAGGCTTCTGGTGCTCAGGTCACTGTCATGTCAGCCATGGAGATTACATGGTGCAAGTCAAGGCGGGATGGGCCACGCCTCACCTTTTGCTCTGAATTCTAGCCAGAAGTGGGAGTTCTGGCCAGTTCTTCCTCTTCTCCTGGGGACTGTATTGCCAAGCTCAGCTGAAGAAAGAAAGTATATCAGCAGGGAGAGGCTAGGCTTGGTGTGGGCTTTCTTTTGGATCCTTTTCCACATCACCTTAGTGCAAATGGAGATGTCATCTGGTCCAGCCTGTCAGCTTAGCTCTCCCTGTGTGCTCCTTCCTCCCTGCAGATGGTTACACGGTGGATGACATTGTCTTCTTCTGGCAAGGGAATGACTCTGCTGTCACGGGGATGGAGGTGCTGGAGCTGCCCCAGTTCACCATCATCGAGCAGAGGCTGGTCAGCAGGGAAGTGGTCTTCACCACTGGTGAGTCTGGTGAAGGCATGCATGGGATGGGCAAACCTGCTGCTGATCAACTGGTCTGAATCCCTCTGATTCAGATGCTGGGGATCTAGGCTTCACCTTGGGGTTCCTCAAAAGAGAAAGTGACTTCTGCACCCACCAGCTTTGCTTTTTCCTTTTTTTTTTTTTTTTTTTTTTTTTTTTTTTTTTAATGTCTGCTTCTCTTCAAAAACTTTCAGGATCATTTTCCCCACTGCAATTATTCCCATTTCTTAGTCAAAATAATGAGTGAGCTCAGAACCTCTTCAGAAGGTTCTCAGCCTTCATCTGATTTTTATGTGGTTTACATCTGGGTCTCAAAGCTAATGTAGGTGCAATAGTAAGGAGAAAATATATCCATTGAGAAGCAAGTGGGCTATGAAATGATGCAAACCCATCTGTACATGGCAATAAAAAGGTTTGGAGAGAATACCTGGGACGATTCAGATGCTGCCAGCTGGAAAGTTGGAGGGGGTTAAATTTTGGTTGCTGGTCTGAGGTGGAGTTCACTGCCGAAAGAGCACAGCACACACCTGTCAAAAAATACTGGTGAAATATTGTGTCCAAGCCATACAAGTGAAATACTGTATAATACATACAAGAGGCACATGGTGATGTGAGAACAATACCTCCTTTTTCCCAATCTACATCCTTGATGGTTTAGAACTGCTGTTTTCTCATTACTTTAGCTGCCAACCAGGATTACACCCATATTTCAGGCTCCTGTGTTGCCTGAGGGACAGAGGTGGGCAGGAGGAATGACTTGGACTTTGTCTCACAGCAGTGAAAGAGGCACTGCTTTGTCCTTGTCAAAATTAGCCTGCTCCAGTGGAAGGACTGTAAAAAGTACTTATTGTCCTCACTATCCTCATTAGGTTTGCTAAAAGATTAGGAGGAAGCTGCAACAACTTGAAAATAATAAAAAAGAGACCTTCAGATTAACTAACAGTTCTCTATTTGCATATGAATTTGCCCAGTCTGACCATAACCTATTTTTAGAACAGCATGGGAAAAATATGATTCAGATCTTCATTGCTGTTTGGAGGCAGAGCTGGCACATGAAACATTGGAAAATCATCTCGGGGCACCCAAATATAGGGTTAAAGTCTCCAGTGTAAGCCTCCATCATATTGGCTGGCACCATAATAGCAATTCCAGCAATGAACAGCCATTCTCCCATGATGGCTGATATAATAATGTGACTTATGTAGAGTTTCCTTTCTTCTTAATACTCTGGGACAACTGAGCAGATTCCGAAGGGACCCCCTGCAAAAATTGACCAGTCTGCAAAACCAGCTGCAGGAAACAGGAGATTTCTCATTTTTCCTGCCTCTTGAGAACTCTTTCCAAATGAAATTTCAGTTCCTAACCTAAGCTCTTAGCAGAAATCCAGCCTTGCCCTCCTCTCCCACCACATCCTCCTTTGATGTCTCATTGGCAGGTTCGTATCTGCGCTTATCGCTGAGTTTCCGGATTAAGAGGAACATTGGTTACTTCATCCTGCAGACCTACATGCCATCCATCCTCATCACCATCCTGTCCTGGGTCTCCTTCTGGATCAACTATGATGCTTCTGCTGCACGAGTGGCACTGGGTATGGACCTTTTCATTGTATTTTGGAGGTGTTTTCTTGAGGGCCATCAGCTGTAACAAAGAAAATCCCTTTTCTTTATGATGTAGCAATTAAGCAAGCCTGTCAAAGTTGTCATCCCAAATGGACATTTTTTTAAATGAAAAAAACTTTAAATTTTCAGTCAGAAGGGTTTTCTTTTACTTAATTTTTTTTTTTTTAATTCATACTTCCCAAACTGGAATCTGTTCTATTTGAACCAGTAAAACTCCTACCAAAAATTTCTGGGGTGTGAGTTTAAACTCTAAACAAAAATGTAGATGGTCACTGATTCTCAGGTACGTGGGACATGCCCTGAGTTCCTTCGCTCTGGTTTGCACTGGTTTTCTTAGGAAGAGAAATCTGGGCACTTTTGTCAACAGGTGTGCCAGGAGTGGTCAGTTGCTTGATGATCGTTGAGGCTGGACAGCCAAAAAGTTGTATGGGAATGGTTAAAAGATGAAAGAAATAAAAGAAGGGGCATGGCACGTTTTTCTGATAGCTCAGGCCCCATGCAGACACTCCCTGCAGAAGAAGACCTTCCATACCAAGGCAAATGTGGGACAGTAGTTAAAGTCCAAGTTCTTCTTTGGCACATGCTCCCCTAAATAGGAATGTTTTCCTATAAGAGGGGGGGAAATGAGGTTTTTAAGCAACAGAAGGGAAGTGGGGGTGGATGGCAGATGAGGGTTTGGAAGGAGGAGCAGGAGAAAGGGTGGATGGCTGGCATATGAGAATGGGCTGTGCGACATGAGGGAAACTTCTGAGGCAATAGCAGAGGTGAGGAGGGAGCAGGGCTGGATCTCTGAGTGGGACAAGGCCCAGAGAGGCAGGGCAGCTCTGGGTCTTACAGCAGAGCTTGGGGGCTTCAAGTAGCTCTAGGAGAAAGGGTTTGAGAAGGCTCAGAGGAGGGATGGGTTGTACAAAGGTATAAAAAAGGTGATTTGGCTTTGCCTGCTTGGACAGGCTGGAGCAGGGAGACAGGGACGGAAGAAGAAGAACTTGGCAAATTAAAAGGGTAAATTGCATTGAGAGGAATGTAATCAGAGAGAGAAGAAAAAAAGACCATGGCAGACATTGTGAAAGCACAAGCAAGAGGGTGGAGGCGAGATGCACAGCTGTTGAATTTCTGCTGATATCTGGACTCAAAGAAGACAGAAAAAAAAATTTGTAGATCAGAACTGAAACAGCTCTCCCATAACTATTCCTGAAACTTCTCAACCTAACTTATCCATAAAAAAACTCCAAGAAAAGAATCTCCACAGCCTCCTCTGGTCACTTTACCTCCAGATTTACCTGCTTACACAGTCAAAGAGCTCCTCTTTGCCTCTGCCCTAAGTATCCATTGCAATTTGTCCACTTCTTAATGGAGACATAGAGATCATTCTATTCTCCCTTTCCTTGCCTCAGATTTCTGTATGTTTAGACTACTGCCTAAATATAGACCATATTGTGTGTATACAAATATATCTCCCTTCTGTTTACTCAGCTGAAGGCTAATAGTTCTCTCAGTCTGTTATCAGGCATGACACCAAAGACACAGCGAGGGTGAAGGGGAAGCAGGCCAAGCAGAGGTCCAGGGTGCACAGAGAGCCATCACTGTACCGGTGGGGCTGAAACCACAGGAGCAAATTAAGGTCATAGGGATTGTTAGAGCTGCCAACAGGGAGATGAGGAGGAAAAAGGAGAACAGAACATCAGCAAGGTAGTAAGAACAGCTAGAGAAGCAGAGGAAGACTAGGTTGAAGAGTAAGAGTTATCACCCCCAAAAGAATTATGAATGCTCATTGCCATGTCTTTGGAGCTGGTGGAAGGCTGTCAAAGAGGTCTGAGGCCACTGTGGCAGTCCAGAGAAGGGAGGAGTCGGAGAAGAAGCTTGAAGAAGCTGAAGGAGAGGACTGAAGCTGTGAGAGTAATCATAGTGAATCAGGCTTTTGGAACTGAGTAGATGGGGACAAAAGTGTTCACAAAATGCTTATTTAAGAATGCAAGAAATGTGAGGAGGCCTAAAAGGGAGAGTGTGAGAACCATGGGAGGAATGTGTACAAGTGATAAGTGATGTAATGAATGGTAAAGCTGGTGAGAGGAAGGTGGGAACTGATGGGGTCAAGGACAGAAGCCTACAATGCAGGCAAGAAAAAGAGAGTGCCATGAAGAGGAAATCTTTTCACTCTTTCTCCAATCCATGGCATTGGAAAGACACAGCAGCTTATAAACTCACGATGCCAAGGATGCTGAGGCATTCAGTAGCCCACAATGAAACCTCATGAGTTCATGAAGGTAAAAAAAGGAGGAGAAGAGGGTAAAAAAGAGCAAAACAATACTTCCTACTAGACTGAGAGAAAGAGGGAAGATCAGGGCGACTTAAAGAAACAGGGATGCTGATCCCCATCATACTGATGATGGTCATCTTTGAGATTTTCTCCAGCTGTTTGCTGCTGGATCATTTTCTGCAGCAATTTGTAGTGGGCATGTGGGCTTAGAATCATGACAGCTTCCTTCCCAGTTGCACTGCTCCCATCCCTCCTGCAGCTGTCCAGCTGGAAGGAGGGATGAAGGAGCTGCAAACAGCATTCCAGGAAACCATCCCACGTGGGTAACAGAGCACCTGCCCTCTCCTCACAGGGGTCACCACGGTGCTGACCATGACAACCATCAACACCCACCTGCGGGAGACTCTGCCCAAGATCCCCTACGTCAAGGCTATTGATGTTTATCTCATGGGCTGCTTCGTCTTCGTGTTCCTGGCACTCCTGGAATATGCTTTTGTCAACTACATATTCTTCGGGCGAGGGCCGCGGCAGCAGAAGAAGCAGAGCGAGCGCGTCAGCAAGGCCAACAACGAGCGCCACCGTTACGAGGAGAAGAGGGTGAGAGAGCAGGTTTGTCCTCTCCTTTCATTGTGCCAGGAGAATTCAGGCTCTCCACTGGGTGAGCTGTGCAACAGCCTTCGTGCTCATCGCTAGAGATGAACCCCAGTTTCTCTTGTCTGGTGATTACTGGGAATTTTTCCACCTTGATCATCCTCATCCAGTCTCACCAGAGCCCTCCTCCTTGCGTGGGGCAGCCAAAAGTCCCTCTGTGGTTTTAGGTCCTCCTGTGTTGGCAGAACCACACTTCCCCCGCTAAAAAATTTGCTGCAAGCACAGGTGGCTGCTCCTTTCACCCCAGCAGCAGAGGACAACCCCCAAATGCAGCATGTTCAGAGCTCACAAATGACCCCATCGGGGATACGGTCACCAAACTCCGGGGAAGAAAAGGAACTCCCCAACACCATCTTTTAAGTATTAACGAGTCAGGCATTACTTTATTCTGGCCAGGATGTGCAGAGGAAATTATTCCAACCACATATGATTATTTACCAGAATTTTCACATATTTATATGTTAAAAAAACCCTCAAAGAAATTCTCATTCTTTGGTTCTGCATTACACAATTATTAGTATTTGATTTCCTATTGGCTATTGATTCCTTCACCTTCAATGCTATTTTTGGTCCTCATTCTTTGGCTCTCTTATCAATCTTTTCCCAGACTGGGAACCTGCCATGGGTTTAATATCTGTTAATATCTCTCTGTCTCCGGTGTGTCTTCTGGCTACTTCCAACCTGTAGATATTAAGCTCTCAGAATCTAGGAATCTTCTTTTTGTTGACTGAAGCCTCACCCAGTGAGACTCAAACCCTTGATGAATAGAATCTTTTGAAGAGAAACCTCAATTTCCACCCCACTTTGGCAAAGGCAAACCAACCCATGACTAAAGTTAATTTAAAAGTTTATAAGACACATCATTTCCAACAGCATTACTCCCCAGAAATCTGTTCAGAATCAGCCCTAATGGTGCACAGGACACCCCAGTACCTCTGTGTCTGTGTTCCCTGTTCCAGGTTGACCCTTACGGTAACATCCTCCTCAGCACGCTGGAGATGAACAACGAGCTGCTGGCCACGGACATGATGAGCAGCGTGGGCGACTCTCGAAACTCTGTCATGTCCTTCGAGGGCTCAGGAATCCAGTTCCGCAAGCCGCTGGCCTCTCGGGATGGCTTTGGCCACCACCCCACCCTGGACCGCCACGTCCCGCTGAGCCACCACGCCGCCGCCCGCAACCGCGCCAACTGCCGCCTGCGCCGGCGGTCCTCCAAGCTGAAGCTCAAAATCCCAGACCTGACAGACGTCAGCACCATTGACAAGTGGTCACGGATCATTTTTCCAATCACTTTTGGATTCTTCAACCTTGTTTACTGGTTGTACTATGTAAATTGATGCCTGCGGCCTCTGAGAGAGATAATAGGGACAGACGCTCAGACAATGACAACACAGGAGTGTTGTGGTCTTTTGGGTTTGGGTTTTACTCTTTACTATCATTGTCATTTATTCCTATGGTTCATTAGATTTATTCTAAGCTTACTCTTCTCTTTTCAGCACATGTAGAACCACGGAGTGTGGGGTGGGGTAAAGGGAGAGAAAGGTACGGGAGGGGATTTGGTTTCAGGGAGGGATGTGTTTGTCTTGATTTTGGTTTCCTGCTGAAGGACTTACACCATT